GGCCTGCCATGTGCTTTAGGAAGGAAACCAACTCCTGCAGCCAGCTCAGGGAGAGATCCTGGGCTCCTCCTACAGCAGACTCATGTTAACCCTCCCACTTCCAGGCACCTCACATCTTCTTTGTGATGTTCCTCTGCAGTCAGGCCTGTGCTTATGAAGAAAAGGCCCAGGGAGGGGAACATGCCCAGGTGGTGCAGAGCCAGGCCCCTGATTCAGGGTCCTGTTCCACTCTACAGGGGAAGGGTCCCACTCAGGCTATCAGTGGCTGACCCCTGGCTGCTGTTCCTGTAGAGGGGTTTAGCCAGCGTGAGCAGGGGTTGGGAGGACAGTGGAAACTAAGTCACATGATGGCCATTTGGTCATGCCTGGGCCCTGTTCGCAGTGTCCTGTCCGTCATGTAGCGTCCTGCATGCAGCTCATCATCAGTTGCAGGATTTTCTGTATGGTTTCAAAGGTGACTGGACTAGAGACTTGCTCCTGACCCTGATTTTCCTACCCAATGCCAGTCTCCTGAACTTACCCTTTGAATAAGAGCAGCGTGAGGAGTTGTGGTGTAGAACTTCCCTTTTGAGCCTGAGCTGCTGGAGTTCAGGTCCTCTGAGAGGAGGCTGCCTGGGCACCCTGTGAGCCATGCCAGCTTCTCCCTGGTGACCTCCTCCCGCCGAGGCAGTGGCTGGCTGACCAGTTTGGTTGGGCCGCTGGCTCAGTCTGCTGTGTCTTACTGTCTTAGGATGGGAGCCTGCAGTGTCCTTCCTGCAAAACCATCTATGGGGAGAAGACCGGGACCCAGCCCCGGGGGAAGATGGAGGTTTTCAGGTTCCAGGTGTCACTGCCTGGCCACGAGGACTGCGGGACGATACTCATAGTTTACAACATTCCTCACGGCATCCAGGTAAGGGGCCACCTCAGGAGGGGTCAGTCACACCCAGGTGCTGTTCTCCTGCCCCACCCCGGGGATGGGGTACCAGGGTCCCTGCTGCCAGCCCCAGACTCCCTGCTTCCTTGAGGCTGGGGCCAGGGAGGCAGAACGCAAAAGCAACAGTGCTGGGGACTGTGGCTGTGGAGGAAAGCAGTAGCCCTCTGTCCTTCCCCCGAGCACAGAAGGCCTCCTGGAGGAGGGGTCATTCCAGCTGGACTTGGGCTGGTTGGAGGACAAGGCAGACAGCAAGAGGAGCAGTGCTGAGGAGCTGCGGAGCCCCCTGCAGGCACCAGGGAGTGGGGTGGGGCCCTGTTCCCGAGAGATCTACTCAGTGACCACTAAGCCTGGGCTGGACGTGGCAGGGCCAAGGCTGGATTTCAGGAATGCAAGCACAGGTCCTAGAGGAAAGCCTGGGCCAGGGCCTGTCTCAACCTAGGGCAGGAGTAGCTGGAGCCAGATGAGGTCTGCTGTGTGGAGCCTTGGTGAATCCGTGCTCTCCCCCGACCAGGTTTCCTATCTTGTGATCAGGTTAGCACCTCTGAGGGAGGGGACTGAGTTGTATGCGGTGGAGGGCAGGAGGTTGTCACCATCCCTCCCCTGCCACACTACTCCAGCCAGTTCTTGGAGCAAGGTGCCACCCAGTGAGCATGTGGAGGGGTGCCCCCAGGGTCACAAAGAAAGATCCGAGGAAACCCAGTGCTTAGAGCATCCCCAGAGCAGAAGAGGGTCAGTCCTGGCTCTTGCAGGGTAGAAGTGGCAGTGGTGATGTCAGACAGATTGGCGCAGGCTCAAGGGAGGGCGTTCATGGGGGAGGCCACATTCACTTTAGGTCTTTGAGGGACCAGAGTCATTGGGTCACTTGAGCTGGCCAGGAAGGCTGGAGCATGAGCCTGGGCTTCCGTGTCCTGTGAGCCTCTGCAGCTGTCCATGGCCACCCACAGCTCTCACATCTTGGCATCTGTTCCTTTTTCAGGGCCCTGAGCACCCCAATCCAGGAAAGCCGTTCACTGCCAGAGGGTTTCCCCGCCAGTGCTACCTTCCAGACAACGCCCAGGGCCGCAAGGTGAAGACCCGTTGCCCCTATCGCCCCATCACCTTAATGTGGCAGAAGATGGGGCCCACTGGGACCCCCAGGGAGTGGGCCAGCAGGGGTGGGCCACTCTGTTTGCCACTCCTTTCCAAAGCATTGCTGTGGATCCAGGAAGAAGCCAGGAAGAAGAGGCTAGGGCACTTGCTTAGTCAGGACGGCCTGCACCCAGGGTGGGATGGGGTCAGATGGCTGGTTCCTCTGTCTGCACTGAGACCTGAACAGGGACTGTGCAGCTATGAGAAAGTCTGGAAGCACCTTCCAGGCAGATAGAACAGCTGAGCCCAGGCAGGAGCCAGCCCCCAGCAGGAGGCGACGGGATGCTGGGCCTGGCTGCCTTCTAGGCATGCTTTGGGAGGGTCCTCCAGTTTGAGAAAGTGCTCTGGCTGCTGGGAGGTGTGTACTGGACTCTATTTCTTTATTTTTGTGCTGCTGGGAGTCGGGCTAGGACCTCACATAGGCTAGGCCTGAGCTGCACCCCAACCTCGAGGCTGGGCTCTTCCGTGGCTGAATGGGGAGAGCAGGAGGGCAGAGTGGCTGCAGAGTGGTGGTGGCTGCCGAGGTGGGGAGGGCAGGGCTATGGCCAGGATCCACGGGAGACCCTGTGGGGCCGTCCCATCAGCAGTTGGAGTTCTAGGGGCCCCATAGATGGGATCCAGGGCTGGGCCTGGGTGAGCTCATCTCCGGCGAGAGCGGAGGGGCAGGGCCTGAGGGGCGCCACTCATGGGCCCTCCCTTCTCCTCTGGCAGGTCTTGGAGCTCTTGAAGGTGGCCTGGAAGAGGAGACTGATCTTCACAGTTGGAACGTCCAGCACCACGGGCGAGACTGACACCGTGGTGTGGAACGAGATCCACCACAAGACAGAGATGGACCGCAACGTGACAGGCCATGGCTACCCCGACCCCAACTACCTGCAGAATGTGCTGGCCGAGCTGGCCGCCCAGGGGGTGACCGAGGACTGCCTGGAGCAGCAGTGACCCACCAATCCCCCATGGCCACCTGGCAGCTGCCCAGCCCCATGGCTGCCCGGGCTGCCCCTGGGTGGCGGGCAGGAACGTGCCTTTGCTGAGAGGCCAGAACCTTTGTGGGGTACACGTGTGCCAGGGTGCGAGGGGCCAGGCTTGTGCCTGCCCTCCCCCTCCTAGTGGGGGAGTTCTGTGGGAGTCGGCAGCCCTGGGGCCTTGTCCTTGTGGGGGCCAAGATGCAGCTACCTCAGTGCAGGGACAGGCCCTGGGACTCTGGAGGACAGCCCTGGGCCCCGGCGCCCAGGCCTGGCGTGGGGTGAGTGTAGACCACCCTTCCTTGGCTGGACAGGCGTGGGTTCTGAGTCAGCTTCTTATACCTCAGATTTTGTTTGCAATAAAGGCCTTGTAGCCAAAGTCCACAGGCTCTTAGTGTTTGTAGCAGATGCAAGTGTGTGAGGGGGGTCTGCCCCCCATGCACAGGCCCTGTGCATGTCCACTGCGCCAGGACATCATGCGTACTGCTTGTTCAGCTCCCATCTGGTAAAGGGCGATCTGCAGGAGCTGGGGAGCCCGTGGCACCCTGTCCTGCACAGCCGCTCATCCACAATGGCCCTGGTTTACAAAACACTGGTCAGGTGCTGCTGTCTCTGGGTTATAGATGAGGACACAGAGGGTCAAAGTTTCAGTTACTGGCCAAGGCGGAGCACCAGCCAGAAAGTCTTGAGGCCCATCCTCTCAGTCTTGACCCCTGTGAGGGAAGGAGCAGATGTCCCCAGTCAAGGAAATCTGTCCCCAGTTAAGGGACAAGCAGAGCCACATTATGACTATGGTGGACTAGAGGCACTTTTGTCTTTGTGAGCCCTTTGTAATCCCAGTTACTCAGGAGGCTGAGGCAGGAGGATCTCAAGTTCAAGCCCAGCCTGGGCAACTTGGGGAGAACCTGGGTGTAGGTCAGTGGTAATGTACACATGAGTTCAGTCCCTGGTACAGCAAAAATTCTACTTTACAAAACAATACCAAGATGGATATATTAATACATTTAAAGACAATAATCATTGAGCTACATCTAAGCCCTTTTTATAGCTGAGGATCTCAAGTTGTTGAGGTTGGCTTCAGACTAATGATACTTCTGTCTCAGCTTCTTGCATTGCCACAATCACAGGCAAGCCCCGCACTCGACCCTCTGGTCCTTCACGTCTTGGTGCTTTACCATTCATTGAAGGACACAGAATCAGGATGGAGAGCATTCATGAATCACATACCTAATAAGGGTCTCATCCAGAGTATTAAAAGAACTCTCAACACCTCAAATGACCAAAAAGCAAAAAAAACTCAATTTAAAAATGCCTGGCACAATAGCCCACCCTTGTAACCCCAGCAGCTCTGGAGGCCAAGGCAAGTTGAAAGCCAGCCTCTGCCAAAGTGAGGCCCTGAGCAACTCAGTGAAACCCTGTCTAAGTAAAATACAAAATAGGGCTGGAAGTGTGGCTCAGTGGTCAAGTGCCCCTGAGTTAGATCCCTGGTACCCCCCCCCCCACCAAGTTGAGCCAGGTGCTCAGGGCCCTGAAAAAGGAACAGAAGCCAAGATGTGAGAGCTGTGGGTGGCCATGGACAGCTGCAGAGGCTCACAGGACATGGAAGCCCAGTCTCATGCTCTAGCCTTCCTGAGCTGGAATTAGAACAAATTTAAACATGGATAGCACTTGCTTAGCATGTGTAAGGCCCCAGGTTGGATCCCAAACACTGTAAAACAACAACAAAAAAAGCCAGGCACAATGTCACCTGCTTACACCTCCACCTGCTTGGGTGGTTGAAACAGGAAGGTGACAAGTTAGAGGCCAGCCTTGGCAATTCAGTTAGACCCTGACTATAAATGGGCTGAGGGGGGCTGGGGATGTAGCTCAGTTGGGAGAGTGCTTGCCTCACGTGCACAAGCCCCTGGGTTCAATCCCCAGTACCACAGAAAAAACTGCTGAGAGGCTGGGGATGTGGCTCAGTGGTAGGGCACTTGCCTAGCATGTGTGAGCACCACATGTAAATAAATACATAAAGGTTCATCAACAACTAAAAAAACATCAAGGGTGGGGGCAGCAGGAGATGTAACTCAATGGTGTTACATTGAGACACTGGGGGCACTTTCTGAATCCCCCGGGTTCCATCCCCCAGAACAGCAAAAGGGAAAAAAATCTCTGGCAAGCATGTCAAAAGGTGCCCGCCCCCAGTGGCTTCCTGGAAGAGACACTGGTCAAAACCACTTTAAGACAAAGTAGCAGCGGTGCTCTCCCAGTGCTGGGGGAATGTAAAACAGCTGCTTTAGGGAACGGGCAGTTCCTCAAAAGGGGGACCATGTGACTGGGCAGTTCCACCCCAGGGATCTATCCAGGCTAGGATTACTAGATCATGGCCACACAAAAACATGTTTGCAAATGTTCTTGGCAACAGTATTTGTAATAGCCCCAAAGTAGAAACACCCAGGCACCTAACACTGATGGATGCTTATGTATCTGTGTGCAATGGACATCAGGGATGCTGAGGGGAGCCAGATGCAGCCACATGCTGTGTGATCCCATTGCTGTGGAATGCCCATCACAGGCACGTTCATGGAGACAGCAGGCAGATTAGTGGTGGTGACAGGAGCCCGACAGGAAGTGACTGCTGAATGCATAGTGTACACTTTTGGGGTGATGGCGTTTTGGAATTAGTGGCGATAGCTGCACAACCCTGTGACGATTAAAAACCATCAAACCAAACACGGTGACGCAAGCTTGTCATTCTAGCAACTTTGGAGGCTGAGGCAGGAGGATCACATGTTCAAGGCCAGCCTGAGCAATTTAGTTTCAAAATAAAGAATAAAAAGGACAGGGGATTCAGCTCAGTGGAAGTGCCCCTGGGTTTGGTCTCCAGTACAAAAAGCAAAAACAAAATCACTGAGCTGTGAATTTTAGAGTATGTGAGTTCTATCTAAAAATATACACATAAGCCAGGCTTGGTGACGCACACCTGTAATCCCTGTGACCTGGGAGGCTGAGATGGAAGGATTGAAAGTCCCTGGCCATCCTCAGCAACTTAGTAAGAACCTGTCTTTAAGAAGAAGGGGGGATGGTGTGCTGGGAATGTGGCTCAGTGGTGAAGCACCCCTGGTTCAACATAAAACTATGTAAAACTATTTAGTTCACTTTGTTTTTACTAACATAAAAACAAAGTGAACTAAATAACTGCAGGGCTTGTCCGTCAGCTGTCCAGGGCTCCACTGTCCCTTCCCGGAGTCCAAGTCCACTTTGGACAAGGGAAAGGGAGCCTCACAGGTGGCAGGACCCAGAGAAGGCAGCAGGGCCAGGGAGGCTGCCTGGCGGCTGGAGCGGGCAGGCCAGGGCTGCACGGCCCTCTGCCCCCCACTCCTTCCCTGGGTGGGGCTGAGAGGTCAGAGGGAAGCTCCTGGCACCCAGGGTACAGGAATCTCAGACATGCTGCCCTGCGTCCAGGTTTCCTGAGGCTGGCCCTCCTCCCCAGGGCTGGGAGGCTGGGTGGGGTCCCCTTCCTGACATAGGCTCTGGGCCTGCCTGGTGGTCATCTGGGGGCCCAGAGCCCAGCCAGCCCCCTCCCCTTGATGGGCTGGACTGCTGGGGTGGGTGCTGGGCAGGGAAGCATTCATATTTACAGGTCTTTCCTGCCCTCCTGGCAGCCTGACTAACCAGCTCCTCCAGGCCCAAGGTGCTGGGGGTGGGGTGCAGCCGGAGGCAGCCAGACCAGCCCCTGAGCTCCCCTTGCTCCGCTGGCCATCATGGGGCCCCCTGGGAGGCAGCCTCGCCCTTGCCTGCTGCTCCTCTTGGTGCTGAGCTGTTTCCAAACCAGCCTGAGCCTGGGTGAGTCGGGGTCCTGGGATGGATGCACTTGGCCAGACCCGAGGCGCTGGGGGCACCTGCTGGGGAGATTGAACCTGGGAGCCCATCCCCTTGAGTCAGGTCCAGTAATCTCAGGGCAATGGGCCTCCAGGACCCTCATGCCCTTCTCCACTGCTCACCCTTGTCCCCCACGGCTACAGAACGGATCCCCTACAAGCCACAGATAACAGCCTGGAACCTGGAAGGGAAGGTCACGGCCACCACGTTCTCCCTGGAGCAGCCTCGCTGTGTGTTTGATGGGCATGCCAATGCCAAGGACACCATCTGGCTGGTGGTGGCCTTCACCAATGGTGTGTGGTGCAGGTCAGGGGCCTGGGGAGAGGGGTGAGGGCCCAGAGGGAACACTTCACCAGTACCCCCAGTTGTTGGGTGCAGCTGGCAGCGGTGGGAAGGGTGAGTGTGGGGAGGGAGGTGAGGTGGGCTTCAGCGCGGGGGGGGGGTCTCTTAGGAGATGGCAGAGTCTGTTTAGTCTGGACTCACAGGGAGGGGGGTGATGGAGGTGGTCAGGGCTGAAGGCCATGGCCAGGTGGCTGAGGACTGGTGGAGGCAGGACTCCTGGTCAGCAGGAAAAGGCCTTTTCCTCCCTTCTTGCCCCTGTCACCCTCCATCCTCCAGCCTCCAGGGATTTCCGGAACCCACAGACCCTGGCTGACATTCCCGTCTCCCCACGGATGCTGACCGATCGCCACTACATGACGTTGCCCCTGTCCCTGGACCAGCTGCCCTGTGAGGATCCAGTGGGTGTCAGTGGAAGCTCCCCCTTGCTACGGGTGGGCAATGACTTCGGCTGCCACCAGCAACCCTACTGCAACGTCCCCCTCCCTGGCCCTGGCCCTTACAGGTGGGTGGTCCCCCTCCACCCTGCCTGCCTCCCCCCCCCCTCACGTCCACTGCCCTGGGATTGGGCTGCGCTGGGGGAGGAGGAGCTTCTGTGGAGCCAGGGTGCAGAGCCGGCCCCTCCCACCCGCCCCACCCAGTCCCAACTGCAGGGTGGCACGAGCCCCTCCCCTTTCCTGGTCTCCATTTCCCTCCTCTGGAGGAGGGGGCAATAGTGCCGTCCCATTGGGTACCAGGCAGAAAGAGGCTTTTCCAGAGGCCCCAGCGGGGAGGTGGGGACCAGGGCAACTGGGATCTCAGTCAAGGTGGGAGGGGGCTGCTGTGGCCTCTGGTTCTGCCCAGGGGGGTAGTTCAGGCAGAAGAGATGGGTCCCATCCCCTTCCTCCTCCCCTGAGGGTACAGCCTTCAGAGGGGTTCAGTCAGGGGGCCTGTTGAGGTCCGGGTGGAGTGTCTCCATCCTCCCTGCTCCCTCTGCCCCCTCGGCCACCCACGCTGGGCTTCTAGCCCTACTCGGTGGGTCCCAAGATGGTCTAGAGTTCCTACCCAGCAAAAACACTGAGTCTGCCCACAGAACCTCTGGGTTCTGCACTCTGGGCGGGCCCTGACCGAGACTCCCTGCCTTTGGCCTGGGTGCCTTTGTAAGAAGGTGCTGAGATCTTCCTCCCTGCCCAGAGCCACTGCCCAGATGGATGGGGACTGCTGGTGCAGGTCACATGCCCAGAGAGGCCTCGGGTCCCTGCAGGTCCTCCTGGCAGGGTCAGACTACCACTGGTACCCGCGCATGAGAAGGGCCCCACCCAGCACAGGAGGGCCGCTGGGGACTCTGCTGAAGGTGGCACCGTGTGCAGGGCAGTGGAGCCCTCTGAGTCTCACCCCTGCTCCCTATCTCTAGTGTCAAGTTCCTCCTAATGGACGTCGGTGGCGCACCCACGGCTGAGACCGAGTGGTCAGATCCCATCACTCTGCACCAAGGTAGTCCTGGGTGCCGGGACTTCCTCTGTCCTCAGGGAGCCCGCCGGCCTCTCTGGGCCACCTGCTCATCTTCTGCAGGGGCACTGGCTCTGCCAACCCTTGGGTGCCCCACCAGCTCCTGTCACAGGCAGAAATCTTCCTCTTCCTGTGGGACCCAGGCCTGGGCCTCCTTTCCTGGGTGTGGGGAGAAGGGATTGGGCATGAAGACCAGAGTCAGCATCAGGGCTGGCTGGCTGGGGGTGGAATGGAAGGTTCTAGGGGCTTCTCTGAGCAGGGCCCTGAGGGTGAACACGGGCCACCAAGCACGTGCAAAGACCAGAGTGTCTGGGAAGGGAGTTGCCCGGGAGACGGCTGCTAAGGCAGTTGGGGTGGGGATCTTGTCATCTGAAGACCTTGAATGCTGGGTTCCAAGGGGCAGGTGATATGGTCCCCTGGAGGTCTGCAGCCACTCTGTCTGCCATGTGGGACAGGGGTAGGGACAAGCCCAGCAGGTGAGCCCAGGGTCGGGCTGGAGTGACAGGTGCTTGCTGAGATGGACAGACGGGTGGGCTTGGGAGGCTGTCTGGGTTCATGAGGTGTGACGGTGGATGGGGAGAGAGGGAGGTGACAGAACCCTGTGTGCAGGGAAGGCCCCAAGCTCCATCGACACGTGGCCGGGGCGGCGGAGTGGCTGTATGATTGTAATCGCCTCCATCCTCTCGTCCCTGGCTGGCCTCCTGCTCCTGGCCTTCCTAGCAGCCTCTACAGTGCGCTTGTGAGTGGCAACACCCCATGGGCCCCTCTCTCACCCACAGCCCTTCCTGGCCCTGGCCCTGGCCCTGAGGCCTGGAAGCCTCCTGTCCACACTGTGGTTGGTTCTCAGCTCCTTCCAGGGAGGGTGCAGGAACTGCACTTTTCCTTCTGTCACCTGGGAGGCCATGAGGATCCAGTAGTTCCCCTGAGGACTGGTTTGGGGGCCTGCCTCCCTCTGGCCCTGTCCTTCACTGTGTCTTCTGCCAAGGCCCCTCTCTCCTGAGCCTTATGTTTCTCTGTGAGCTCGTGGGTGTCTTAGCAAATTGGTGCCAGCATAGGCAGTCAGAGTGGTTACCTGGAAGAGGCCAGTTCTAGAAAGGGTGGAGAGGGAGAGCCGAGGCCGTGGGGTGAGGGTGCGGGGAGGGGAAGCAGTCCCCCACCCACAAGGGACATAGTGCCTCTTCCTCCTCCCCTGTCCAGCTCCAGCCTGTGGTGGCCCAAGGAGGCCCCTGAGCATCTGCGGATCGGCTCCTTCATGGGGAAGCGCTATGTGACCCACCACATCCCGCCCAGTGAGGCTGCCACACTGCCTGTGGGCTGTGAGCCTGGCCTGGACCCCCTCCCCAGCCTCAGCCCCTAGCCTGCGGCCTGGGCCTGGGCCTAGTGGGCAGGGAACAAATGCAGGGAGCGTGTTCCCCACCCCTGTGCCCACAGGCCTCCTGGGGCTCCTGGCCTCTCCCCAGCATGCTCCAGCCTGCCAGGACTCCCCTCCAGCAGCCCTGGGCACCTGGAAGTGACTTTAGGAGGGGCCGTGGTCAGGCTGGGCATCTGGCCCGCCTCTGTCCCTGTCTCTGTTCTGCCTGACCTATGAGCACGGCTGGAGGCACGTGGACCCGCAGCCCCAACCCAGAGCTTGCAGACCCCAGGAGCAAACCTTCGAGAACCTGGCTCTGCCCTGGGTAGAGCCCAAGTCACCCTCTGTCACACCCTTTAGCTGCTGCTAGGGTACAGCCTTCAGAGGCATCTCTGCTGGCCCTGGATACTGGCTCAGTTCGCGGGGAGGGATCCCTGGGGCTGCACCTGGGATCCACACAGAGGCCGGCCCCAGCACAGGAGGACCCCAGATGTGCAGAAGGTCAGACAGTGTTGATGACATCACGACTATCCAGCTACAGATTCCGGTCACCATTTCAAATCCCTTTGCACACACAGATGGCCACACACTCATCCATTCATCCCACATCATTCATTGAGTACTTGCTGAATGCCATGCACAGTGTTAGACTCGGGGAATCAGGAAGAGCAGGTCCCGATCTCCGGGAACTCCCTGCTCTGAACTTCAGACCACCGCGTGTCCAGAGGTGACTTTCACTTGATCTCCAACTCACACATCCTTAGATAATCACCCCAGTGGACTCTCCGAGGCCCTCAAGACCCCTTCATCAGAAAGGTTGCAATGCAGACTTCCAAGCTTCTGTCCGCGAGGCGAGTGGTTCCCGCCATCGCCACACGGGGGCGCCGGCGCGCCGTGGCCAGGTAGCCGAGGGCCCGCGCGCATGCGTGCTCCTGTCCACCGCCTCAGCCCTGCGACCCCAAAGTGATCTGTGATCGTCGGGGCTTCCACTGGCCAAGCCAGAGAGCGTGCGGGGCAGTCCCGCTGCCCTATGAGCGCCTACTCTACAGGCTTCAGCCCACACAGCGGCGGCGATTTCCTCCAGGAGAGCTGAGCCTTGGTGACATGCGCACGCACTCCGTCCATCTGCTGCACCCCACCCTGTGTTCCCTGGGCGCTGCTCCCGGGCCTGTCTGACCGCGGCTCCCAGCACACAGGCCCTTGCCCGCCTCCTTTGGAGGTGAATAAATGTGGTCTGGCTTCTGCATGACTGGAGTGACGCCCGCTGGCAGTGGGACAAAAGCACGAGGCCCCAGCCCCCCTGAGGAGGTCCCTGGATTGCTGTCCCTACTGGTGCTCCATCTCTTAGGCCACAGAGAAACCCATGCATGAGTTTCAGGCAGCAGTAGTCCATGCTGGGTGTGTGATTCCACTCAGCTGCTTTCTCCCCAGTCTCACCCTCCTATGGGAAGTCTTTAGAAGCTCCTGAGTCCCTCATCTCTGAGGTCTGTCCCCCATCCTTCCTTCACCCCACCAGACACAGACCTGCAGGTCTGGATGGAGGCAGTTTCAGTCCAATGCCCTGGTGGCCTGGGAGACATCTGGCTGTTGAGCCAGCCCCATTGGGGGACAACTTTTGAAACCCGGCCTCTGTGGAGCCTCTTGGGAGGGGTTCAAGGCTTCCGTCTCCTGGACCAGCTAGCCGGGGCAGAGTCCACCTCACACTGCACTAGCCCTGGAAGGTAAGATAGGGAAGAAGATGCCCTGTTAGCGTTTGACATGTGAAAAGATAAGTGACCCCTCCCAGACCCAAAGATCAGCTAGGAGCAAGAATAGCCAGACTCTGCACACGTGGGGTCCTCCTGTGCTGGGGCCGGCCTCTGTGTGGATTCCAGGTGCAGCCCCAGCGATCCCTCCTTGCGAACAGCCTCCCTGACCACGGAGACTGCCTCCAAACAGATGTGGCAATAGCATGGGGTGAGGACTGAGGGGTAGCCCAGGGGAGTCCAGGGGGATACCGACCTCAGCTGAGGGTCAAGGGGGCTTCCTTGGGGTCATTTCCAAGCTGAGTCTGGAAGGGCAAATGGAAGTCAGTGGAGCACGGCAGAGAGAGCTACTCAGAGAGACCAGTTGTCACCCTTGCAGTGCCATGGATGACGCCAGGGGGTGGCAAAAGACTGAAGGACAGAAAGACACAGGCATGGACCCACAGGTGAAGGGGCTAGAAAGGAAGGGATGGATTCCAGGAATACTCAGGTGGCCCTAGAGTTGAGGGATGAGCGGGAGAAAGGAGGCCCTGCCCGGGTTTCTGTTAAGGAGAAAGGCGTGAACACAAAACCTAGGCCCGTAGGCTCTGAGACGTGGGTACGCCACCCCAGCAGACCCTGAGAAAGGGCTTCTGGGACTGCCATCCTAACAGCTTAGGGGACTCACAGGGCATTAGCAAGTCGCTAATATTTTGCAAAGGTAGAAACCTACCTTAGGACAGTTGGAAGCCACTCTGGGAGGCCGCTTGACCTGGGTATTCTGACCCTGGTTGTGCCCACAATCACACCACAGCATCCCAGAATCCTGGACCAATGCCCTGGCACAGCGGGGCCCTGGGGAGCTGGGCCAGTGCCTCCTGCCCCAGAGTCACATGCCAGAGGGGCATCAGTAGGACCTGAGCCCAGCGCTGGCCAGCTTTGGACAGCCTTAGGCAAAACACAGAGAGAGGACCATGACATTTAAAGAGACTTTTAGTTAAGTGGCGTTATAAGTGCTTCCCAGGATTGTATTTGAGGAAGTGCTGTGACATCCATTGGCCCCAGACTTACTGGCTCAATGGTTAAAAACAAGTGCATTATGAAAAAGGAAAACATCCAGGGGAGAGGGGGGTGGTGACTCGCAGATGACTCATCAGGCCCCAGATCAAAGGAACCAGGACAGGGCAGGCAGGGACAGGCCATCTGGACTGCTGCCACCTCACCTCTGCTCGCTCCACCATCAGTTCCCTCATCCCCACAACCCCCCCCCCTCCAGCCAGTCACCCTCTCTCTGGCTACACTCCCCACCCCCACCCCCATTAGCCTCCCAGCATCCCAGGGAGGCCAGACATGTTATATGGCTGACCACGTTGAGTCTTTGCTCCTAACTTTCAGGGACTTCATGCAGCAAGCACAGAGTCTAGATTGGTCATCTTAGGTTCAAGGGCCCCAAGGTCCCATCCCTTGCCTGACGTACAGACCCTTGTTTGGCTTCTAGTGCCACAGGACGTTTGCACATGTTTCCCTCTCTTTGTAGAACACTCTCCACTCGAGTCCATTCCTCAGCTCCACTCCAGCACCTCTTATTCAGGAAGGCCCTTCCTCACCCCTCAGGTCTCCTAGACAGCTGTGCATCTTTCCCTCTCAATTAAATTTTGCAATTTGTAAGTAGATATAAAACTGAGCCTTTTGAGGGGTGCTTGGGACTGAGCCTTGTGCACGGTCAGTACACCCTCTACCATTGATGTACGCCCCAGCCCTTGAACTGTGAGTTATTGTACTATCAACTCCATCTGGGAGGGCAGAGAACACTGGTGCCATGTTTGCCCACCAGGGCCCTCACAGAGCCGCCCCCTAGTGGATGCATAACAGTTTATTGACCAAAACACCTTTCAGAAAAGGACAAAGCAGTGGGAGGGTGGCCGTCGTCCAGCCAAGCCCCAGAGAGAGGCCCCGTGAGAAACCAGACCTGCTCAGAACTTGACCTTGGACTTCCAGCCTCCAGAACACACATTTCTGTGGCATATGCCGCCCGGTGTGAGGTCTTTGGCTGTGAGACTGATACACCCCACATCGTGCTGTCCTGAGGCCTGGACATCAGCAGAGGTGCTATGCCCAGGACCGTGTCAGTGATGGAGATCGTGAAGCGGTGGAGACCATGAGCGTCAGGCGCCTTCCAGGCAGAGGGACTTGTGTGTGCAAAGGTTTGGGGCCTGGGGTGACGTGCTGCCCAGGCCAAGGCCTGGCCCTCACCTGCTGCTGGCCCTGGCCCAGCCATCTGCCCTGCCCCCACTTTGAGAAGGTGGAAAGCACCTGCAGCTCTGCCTGCCTCCCCCACACAGCCCCTGCCTCCCCCTTGCTTGGCCTGTCCTGGGCGGGTCGTCCTGGCTTCTGGGAACAGAACCCAGGCAGCAAGACAGGGGCAGAGGCTTCTGTCCTTGGGCCTCCTTTGCTGTGTGAGCCCGACCAGGCAGCTGGGCTGATCTCCCCTGGCCTCCATGTCCCCTCTGTAAAACGAGTGTCCACCCCAGATTTCGAGCTCCTTTTAGGTTCACCCTTTGGTCTCAGCCTCCCTGAAACTCCACTCCCTGTGGGTGACGCAGGCCAGAGGAACCCAGGGGAAGGAATGCGTTGCCCTTGACAACCATTTTTCTCCCTGGCTTCTCCCCCTGAGGGACTGAGAAGAATGTCCCATGAATCATCCTGGCCTCTCCCTTTTCTTCTCCAGCCCCCTCCTTTTGTCCCCCAGTGGAGGTGGCTCAAGATCTCCCAGGGGGGTGGTCTCCAGGATCCTCTGGACTCAGGTGTATGGTCCCAGCCCCTGTGCCTTGGGGCCAGGGCAGCGGCAGAGCCCCCAGGGCAGGGAAATGGGGCTGGGGGCAGGGGCAGGGGCTGAGAGTAGAGTCAGATCACTGGGTGCCTCTTTCTCTGGGGTCTTCTGCAGGCAGAGCTGGGGGCTCTGATCAAACCCAGAAAGTCCAGTGTAGGGGATGGGGGGGAGGGTCGATGCGGGCAACACTGGCAGTGGTGGGAGCCCAGGGGAGGCCCCTGGCCCAGCCCAGGGACGGGACACATGGGGGACTTGGTGACATCAGAACTAGAGACTTTGCTGAGTTTGGAGTGGAAGAAGGTAGGATCCGGAACCACTGTGGGCTCACTGAGTGACGGCCTGCCCGGATGAGGAGGTACAGAGCTGGGGTTGGGAGAATAAGGAGGAGACAGGCCTGGGGCAAGGCGTGGAGGGCCCCCCCCCCACCCGGTGGCTGAGCAGTGCAAGGAACGCCCTGGTAGGGAGGGCAGGCCTGGACGTGGGTGTGAGTCAAGCCTGGAGAGCAGTGTTGCCCCTGAATCCCCCACCCAGATGCTCCTGGGTTTAGGGCTGCTGCTGGGTTGGCTGCTAGGTCTTGTGTTCCACCCGCTTTTCCTCATGGCACCGCAGGAGCCAGCGTCCAGCCACACAGGCTTCAGTGCCAAGGGCCTCAGAACTTCAAAGAAACCTCCAGCCATGTGGACCTTATTGCAAGCTCAGACTTCTGCAAAACACTGGCATTGAAAATGAATTTAGAAAGTCTTTGCTGCCACCATCCTGTCTCACCCTGACCGCTGCAGCAGCCTTCACCCTGGGCACCCCGGTAGCTATTACCCCTGAATTGGATTAATAGTGTTTCCCCTCAAATCCATGTCTAACTCAGAAGCTGTGGGTGTGACCTTATTTGGGAATGGAGTCCTTTTTGGTTAGGATAAGATCAGACTGGATTGGAGCAGGACCCAGGCCCAATGCAATAGGTGACTCTCCTCCAGAGCCTTGGGAGGGAACATGGCCTCACTGGCACCTTGATCTCAGCTTCTGGCCTCCGGACTTGTTTCCAGCCACCCAGCTTGTAGTCATTTGTTACAGCAATTCTAGGAGACTACTGTAACCCAGCAATGATCCTTCACTGCAGCAAAAGGGACCCTGTGTGTGTGCACGTGTGTGTGTGTGTGTGTGTGTGTGTGTGTGTAGCACTGGGGATGGAACCCAGGGCCTTGCACATGCCAGGGAAGTGCTTTCCCACTGGGCTACATCCCTGACCCCTGCTAATTCTTATGGATCATGGTCTTTCTCTGCTCTGACCCTGCAGTACTTCCTTCTCATGGCCAAAGCCACAGTTCTGACAAAACTTAAATGGCCCCATGCCATCTGTACCATCCTTTGACCTTGCTGACGGCACCTCTAACCCCTTCTCATGCTCCCTAACTAACCCTAACTATGCTAACTCTCCCTAACTAACCCTAACTATGCTAATCCCAGCAAACCCACCACGACCAAGATGCTCCTTCCTCAGGGGCCACCGTGGCTTATTCCTAGAGTGGGTACCAGCGTATCCACCCATATCCACGCACACACGGCCCCGCCCATCTGGAGTGGCCTCCCCTGCCTTGCCCCTGGGTTGAACGGCGGCTTGCTCTGGCCATGATATGCTGTTGCAGGAATGCCTAGTCCATAAAGGCCTCCCAACTTCCAGTTTTTTCCTCTTAAATTCTTGTTGCTATGTAGAGAAGCTTAGGCTGGACCACTAAGTGCTAAGAAATCTCATGAAGAGAAAGGGGGAAAGAAAGTTAAAAAAACAGAGAGAAGGGGAGAGACCCTGCAGCACTGGGCTGTTCACTCATCCCAAACACCACGTCAGTGAAGCCAAGGTCAAAGCTGAAGATAGCTGCATGAGCTGCCCAGACCGATACCATATGGAGCCGAAGAACCACCCAGCTGAGCCCAGTCCAACCCCACAACGGCTGGAGGTGATCAGATGCCACTGTTTGCAGGCTCAGAGTTTGGGGGGGCACTTGGGGAACCAGGGCTTTATGGTTGCTGAGCCCGTCACTGTCGAACACGCTCCCAGGGGTTCCATGGTTGTCCCTTTCCTGGTTCATATGCCACCTTGGCAAGGTCCCAAGAACTCCCTGCCTAAGATGGCCCCTGCCTTCCACCATGCTCACCTCCTAGCCCTGGGTTTTTGTCTCCTTGGCAGCTGATGCTCCATCTTGCCTGAATTTGTTCATGCAATGGTGGTCCCTCCCCCTGGGGATGTCCACTCCATGAGGGTGGGACTTGGATTCTGTTCCCTGAGGTACCACTGCGCTGGCACGGAGCAGGGCATCTATGACTCTGTGAAAATCGTGAATGGATAAGATCCTGGCCTTTCCCAGCCCCCAAGTTCCCCTCAGAGCTCTCTGCTCACAGGCTGGGCCCACAGAGGTCCTGGCACCTGGTAGACCCTCTATAAGTCATGGGAGATTTACCAAGGAAGCCTTCCCCTACTGGAAGAAAGGGCGTTCTGGTTTACGATCCCAGGTGCTTCAAAGGTCTTTCCCCAATGACAGGAGCACCTGGTGGCGTGGGGAGGGACTGATAGCTCTTCTTCCTTCCCCTCCCTGACCAAAGCCCAGGCCCTGCATCCCTCTCCCTGCTCGAGTGTGGAGACTCCTGACCCCTGGAAGGCACAGTGTACCCTGGGCACCTCCTCCAAGCATGGGCGTGCTGGTTGCCTTGGAGATGGGGCCTTGTTTGCTGACCCCAGACTGGGCAGGCCTTTGGGAACCTTTAACTATCTTCCCTGGGTGAGGTGCGGGGAGCCACATCCCACCCTATGAGTCAGTCCCAAGGTGCTCGGCAAGGCAGGTCCTAAAAAGGCTTGGCACGGACACCCTCTTGGCTCCTCTTGGATGCTTAGTACCCACTCCCTTCACACTGGTACTCAGTGAACCTGGGGACATCCAGACCCAGGGGGAAAGTTGACACCTGCCACAATCCACATCATCCTGGTCTTCTCTCTGCTTGAGGCTGTAAAACAAGATGACATCCACCTGGCCAGACACACACAGCAGGACGTAGGACACACAGACATAGCATAGGTCAAAAGTAATAATCAGGCACAGCTATGTGCCAGATCTTAAGTCCAGAGCTGAGGATAAGGGTGACCTCTGGCCTCAGTTTAATGGAGAAAAGAGGCTCTCACCAAATAATGCTGTAGCCACCGAGTGACTCGCACCTACTTTTTATTTTTTATGCTTTGGTACTGGAGATTGAACCCAGGAATGCTTCACCACTGAGCCACACCTCTAGCATTTTTCTTTTCTTTTTTTTCATTTTGAGACAGAGTCTTACTAAGTTACTGAGGCTGGCCTCAAACTCACGATCCACCTGCCTCAGCCTCCTGCGTTGCTGGGATTACAGGCATGTGACACCCTGCCTGGCTCCTTTTTATTTTATCCACTGATTGGATCACTGCCTGTGAAGTAGGATAGAAGAAAACAAAACATAGGTAGGAAGGAGACAAAAGGAGATTATGACTTCATTCTGAAAGGCTTGGGCTAAAATTCCTAACACCGTCATTGCCAGCAGCACCCCTAGCCCTAGTGCTCCCAAATTTCTAGGAAATCTACAAATCTTTAACCACAATTTTAAAGTTAACTGGAAACTCACCCTTATGAAAATTTGCCCCATGCCCTGTTAGTCCCATGAATACATGTATTTTTAGAATAGATCCAGCAAAAGACAATTCAAAACTTACAATTCAGGACACTTTCCCAGTGATATCTACTGATCAGATCATGGGGAAGACTCAAGCCCAGGCACCTGGAAATTGCCAAACCACTATATGGTCTCTTGGTCACCAGACTCATCTCTACACACCTTCCCTTGCCCACCCTCAACAAATTTCCTGTAAAAGAAGAGCCCGAGACTCCAAAAGCCCTTCTCACCCTGGAGATGGCCCACATGCTCCCTTGAACTTGTACTTCTCACTTTCCTAAATAAACCTCTGTGCCTCGATATCTGAAGGGTCTAGAAATTCTTTTCCATCATGTGTATCAAGGACCTTGGTATCTAGAGATGAAGTCCCTCTCTCCAGGACCTGGGCGGACCGTCCCCCTCCAGGGAGAACACTATTTGTAGAATTAATTTACACCCCAAACTGGTTCATTGATCTTTCTTTTCCTCCCTCTGTGGGGCTGGACATCAACCCAGGGTCTTGCTGGGGCCAGGGCCACCGGGCCACCCTCAGACCACGTTGATCACATCACCAAGCCTAGAGAACCTCGGGCTGCGCGTGCTCTGTGCTCCTCTGTCCTGAGTTCACTTCCTCCTGCCTCCCAAGGTTCCTGGCAAAGGCCAGTCTTAGGGTTCTATTGGGAGGGGACTCGCAGGAGGAAGAGGAGGAAGGAAAACTCTGACCCCCGCTGGACCACAGGGGCGGGGGGCCGGAGCAGGGAGCCCCGTTAGAATGGCTATGGTCAAAACACAAAAATTAATAAATGCTGACAAGGACGTGGAGAAAAGGATCTCTGTGTGTTGTTGGGAATGTACATTAGTACAGCCACTGGGGAGAAGGATATGAAGGACCCTCCAAAAGCTAAACAGGGAACTAGCATACGACCCAGCCTTCCCACTCCTGGGTATCTATTCAGAGGAAATGAAATCAGCATACCAGAGAGACACCTGCATGCCCGTGTTTCTTGTGGTACTATTCACAGTAGCTAGGAGTCAACCTAGGTGCTCATCAGTGGACCAACGGGTAAAGAGAATGTGGTATATCTACGCATAATATTTTATTCAGCCATAAAGAAGGATTAAATCCTGTCATTTTCAGCAAAACCGGTGGAACCAGAGGATAGAGGACATTGTGTTATGTGACATAAGCCAGACACAGAAAGACAAGCACCAGATGTTTCCTTATATGTAGAGGGAGTAGCCGGGTACAAGAGCGCATACCTGTAATCCCAGCGGCTCAGGAGGCCGAGGCGGGAGGATTGCAAGTTCAATGCCAGCCTCAGCAAAAAAGTGAGGCAGTGAGCAACTCAGTGAGGCCCTGTCTCTAAATAAAATACAAAGTAGGACTGGGGATGGGGCTCAGTGGTTGAGTGCCCCTGAGTTTAATTCCTGGTACCCCCCCAAAATTAAAAAACGTGTGTGTGTGTGTGTGTGTGTGTGTGTGTGTGTGTGTGTAGAGGGGTGTAACCTCAGTGGTAGAACACTTGCCTAGCATGCACGAAGCCCTGGGTTCCATCCCTAGTTCTGCAAGAAAGAAAGAAAAAAAAGAGAGAGAGAGAGAAATATCACACAGAGCCTAGTAAAATCTACAATTACTACATGTTAATCAGAAAATTAAAACAAGGAAAAAAAAAAAAGGTTCTTCTCATCTTGGGGCCTTGGCTGAGGCTCACCCCAGGATAGCACCCTTTCCGCCACCGCTGGGCCTCGGCTGCTCTTCCCTGGAATCTAGTCCTGGCTTAGGCCCATGTACTTGGGGACGGAGTCCATCCCTGATGAGATGTCACCATTTTAAAACTTGGAAAGTCTTCAGCATTCTGCTAGCGTGCCTGAGTGACGGGTCGGTCACAGAAAACCCACTGGGTCATTATCGGATGTTGACTGGAATATTTCACTTTGGAAGCACGTGGTAGGCAACAGTCGGCCCCATTCAAGTGTTGTGGATCTCGATCTTCCCAACCACCAGAACTCTGAGAAATAAATCTGTGCTGTGTTGAAGGCGCTCTGTCTATGGTATTTTGCCACAGGAGCCCGAATGGTCTAGGACAGTGTTAGGATGGCCTTAGGCAACTCCACTTTAGAAAACCTGCAGTCTCTCCAGGCACACCCACAGAGCCCTCCAGTACGGCCACACACAAGTCACTTCCCCGCACCCTGATAAACAGAGGGAAGCCCCTGGCAGGCCGTCTTCACCTGGTAAGAGGGAAAGGTGAGAAGATCTGGATGGAGACCACCAGACCAGGTGTTTCTGACCCCAGGGTAAATGAAATCTAGTGGTAACTGGTAAGGATTGAAAGGGGGGTCAAAAGCCCCAAAATTTAGAGCAGATGAGCGGGGATTCAGCCAGCTGAAACAAGGATGGACTCAAGCTGGAAAGCCTGATGAGGTTATGACACCCCATCACTTGTCATCGTTCCTGAGCCTCTGCGTGATCCTCAGCACTCTCAAATCTACCATCTCATCTGGATCTTGGTGAGAGCCGCAACTCCTCCCTACGACCCCCTCCTCAACCAGTCGTCCACTCCATGCCAGGAAAAGCCTGCCTTGGTTGCGGACCTGGTCACCGCAGTCTGAGTGAGTGTGCATTTGCTGGACATAATGCCTAAGGCTGAAGACTTCTGAACTTAGCATGCAGAGGGGATGTCTGTCACGAGCCTGTCATGATGAAGTGTGTTTTGCAGTGCTTAGAATTAATCTAGAATTGTTGGCTGTGGATTGATTATGTCGATTGCAGTGCCTAGCATTAAGGATGGTCGTTTTCTTGATTAAGAACCTAGAGAGTGAAGTTGTATTGAGTAATTTGAGTGAATAAAGCACTGAAAGGGGCAAAAGTGCGTGGACACTCTATTTCTCCCCTACGACGGCATACGTTGCAATTTTGCCCTCTCGAGGTAGACAGTTAGCCTCCCTCCTGCCCTCATGCAGGATCTGCCCAGAGAGGGTGTGTGGCGTATGGCTGAGCCACAGGAAGACCAGTCGGTAGAAAGTACCATGGGGACATTGAGAAAGAAGGGCGTCATTCTGTTTGAAGGTCAGGGAAGCCGGCTGGGAGGATTTTGCAGAGGTTCCGAGAGGAGCTGGCATCTGGACTTGGTTTTGTAGAATGAGTGGGGGATTTCTCCTTGGAGAGGAGGTGCTGGGGAAGGGCACACGAGGGCTCAGATGTCTGAGGAGCCCAGGGTGCCTCAGGAAGGAAGCAGCCGTGGGGTGGGGGAGCCTTTAAGTTCCTGGTGGCCAGGGAAGGTCAGCCTCTTCCCACCTCACTGAGCTTGAGGTGCCCGCCCAGGTGGGCGCGGCAGGATCGGCCCTGGGGCAGCCCAGGTGGCCTCCTCCTCTGAGGCCTCTCCCAGGCCAGGCCCTCCTGGAAGTGGGGTGGGGGTGTCTGGGCTTGCCTCACCCCAGCAACCGATCCTTCTCTTCAGACCCCACCCTGGTGGGGCCAAATCCACAGAGGCCTGCAGATTCTGCCCCCAAACCTGTCGGACCAGTTCTATGGGAGGAGGGGGCACCCAGGAGGGGCAGCTGAGATGGAAGGAAGCAGCCTCCCCCCGGCCCAGCACAGACAGCTGCAGACACTGCGGACAGAACTCTGCCCGGACAGACCTTAGGATGCTGGGCCTGGCCGCGAGGCCCAGAGGGGTACAGTCCTGGTGGCTGGTCCTTCTGTTGCTGCAGCTTATTGGTGTCCCGCCGGGGACAGGCCTGGGTGAGTGAAGCCGGGGACTGAGGCGGGGTGCCCACAGAGCCTCAGGCTTCGGGGAGGTAAGTCTCCTCCCTGGCTGCCCTTCCCCGACTCCCTGGTCTGGGGACTAGGTCCTGCGTTGGTCTGGGAAGAAGCACCACCTAAAGCAGTCACGGACCAGCACCTGCCCCTCTCCCCAGGACTGGGGAGCAACAATGCTTGCTCTCTTCCTTTGGGGTTCCCATGCCCAAATTCTTAAATGGTTCCCCTCCTCCTCCTTCCTTCGCTATGGAAACCCAGGAGCGCAGGTTACCCCTGCAAACCCCAGGAGGATCCCAAACTAGAAGGGCTTAGAGATAACAGTCACCCTCATTTCTCTGCCGCTCTATTTCTCTCCCCTAGTTGTGCAAACATTAAGTGCTTACTGTATGCAAAGTCTCCTGGGCCTCTGAGAGAGTATTGAGGGCCTTGAGAAAGAAGGAATCAAGCACCCTCCCAGACTAGAAGGTTCTGGAAGGTTCTAGTCCAAACCTGTGCAGTTGATGTAGTGGCAGTGAGACATAGTGAACTGGACTGGAGGGGTGGGTGGCTGAGACCCCTATGAGAGCCCACTTGGTCTTTCTGCTTGCGCCAGTATTTGGGGCTGGGGAGCTGAAGGCACTCAGGGAGGAGGGAGGGGGTCCGAGCCCCCCAGCTGCAAGGCTGGACACAGGCCACATTGCCAAAACTGAGTCCCCTCTGGCATCGGAGGCTGTGAGGGGAGCCCAGAGGGGGCGGAGGTCCCGGAGGAGAAGGTGTCTTGGGGTCTCAGTGGGAGGTGACGGGAGTTGGAAGAGAACTGGGTGGAGAGGAATGTTCTAGACTCAACCAGCTTCAGGCCCCAGAGCCAATGGTCCCCACAGGAGGGTTATCTCTGGGTCTCAGTGCAGGGCACCTTTGTGCGTCAGCTCCTCGTCCTCCCAAGCCATCCACTTCTCCCATCAAGCAAACCAACCAGGACCATGTAGATGGAGATGTAGCCCCCTGTAGAGGGGCTCCTCAGGCTACCTGGAACGTCAGGAGCAGTGTCTAGCCCAGGGCTCGGTCCCCCGGACGTGAGTCTCACCCCAGCGAGGCCCGGAGCCCTGAGCCCGCACCTGGGCTGGTGGGGGAGCTGTGTGCTTCGGTCTGCTCTTCCTGGGTGCTTCCGATCCCACGGAGACCCACAGGTGGGAGGAGGACCTGGCCTTCCCTCCCAGCTCCCACAGTGCCCACCCTTAGCAGGCTCCCAAGGGAGGCTGGACTCAGGCCACCTGCCCATGGCCCATGGGGCACAGAGTTGCCAGGGAGCGCTCCTGAGCACAGCCTGATCCGACCTCCCAGGAAGAGCCCCTAGCTCCGTCAGACCAGGGCTGCCCAGACAGGCCTGTGTCTCCCCCTCTGACCGGGCGGTTGCCCTGTTCAGGCTCCTGCATCCCCTCCCCTGTGCCTTTCCCAGAGCACATCAGCTACGTGCCCCGGCTCTCCAGCGTCACCCTGGCCGGGAAGCTCACGCAGTCCACCTTCACGCTTGAGCAACCACTGGGCCTGTTCGATGACCTCAATATCTCTAACTCAGACCCCATCTGGCTGGTGGTGGCCCACAGCAACGGTGGGTACCACGGCCACCAGGCCTTGGTTTTTCCCTATGCAATGGGCCGGCCTGGGGGGAGCAGCAGGAGTAAGGGAAAGCCGGGGACACAGGAGCGGTGGGGGGTGTGGCCCGGGAGGGTCGTCCGCAGGCCTGGTGGCACAGGGCTGGAGTCCTAACTGGCCGTGCCACCCTCAGCCATCCAGAACTTCACTGTCCCACAGAGGACAAAGGACATTCCTGCCCCCGCTGACTTCTCCCAGAAGGGCTACTACCTCACACTGAGGGCCAACCAGAAGCTCTACCAGCGTGGTGGCCAGGCCAGCAAGCAGCTCCCTGTCCTCCGTGTGGGCAATGATACACACTGCTCCTGGACAAAAGTGGGCTGCAATCACCCACTGCAGGGCTCGGGACCCTACAGGTGAGGGGAGCTGCCAGGTCCCGGCTGACCTGGGGATGCTCCTGCCTGAGCCAAGCCGGACCCTGACAACTTCCGGTGGGACACCTGGGTTCCCTGTTGTACCAGTAGGAGTGTGAGGCAGGGAGAAGGGGCTGGGGACGCCTCAGTGAACCCTCCTATCTTTTTGGAGCAATGGGCCCCCAATGTAAGCCCCAGTCCCCACTGGTGGTCTGGGACACAGGGAAGGATGCATCTAAGAACACACAGTCAGATGTGAACTCTTTCTCTTGGGCTCTGAGGATGCTATTTAGCCCAGGCCCTGTCTTCCCACCCCAGGATGCTCTTCCTATGCCTGAGAGTTGAGGGGAGAAACTGTCGGGCACCAGGGTCTGAGGGTTTCAGAAGGCAAGGGCTCCACCCCCAATACTGGGTTTGCTGTTAGGGTGAAGTTCCTGGTAATGAACAAGGAGGGACCCGTGGCTGAGACAGAATGGTCCAAGGAGACCCGCCTACAGCAAGGTAGGGGGCAAGATGAGCAGCTTAAATGGTAGGGGCTGGGGGCTCCTAGAGAGAGCGGGAGGCCTGGGGCACTGGGCACAATCAGAAGCATGTTGCTATTCTGCCGGCTGCAGGTGCTCCTTCTGGCTCAGGTGGAGGGTGGTTGGTCCAGAGGCTGTGTGTGCAAGGGCCCCCTTTGCAGGTCAAATGAAGTCCTCTTCCTATGTGGCCCATCATCCTCCCAGCCCAGGTACTGCAAGCTGTTACGGGGCCCCAGAGTGCAGGCACAGTGGTCATCATTGCCATCCTGTCGGTCCTGCTGGCCATCCTCCTGGCTGCTGTCCTCATCATGCTCACACAAGCCTAGTGAGTAGACAGGGCTGGGACCACCTCCCAGGGCCCTCTGCTGGGGTGGTTTTCCTTAAAGGCCAGACAGGGCTATCAATAAATTGCGCACGGGATCCCTGAGGTTCCAGAACCCCTGGGTTCTGAGCTAGTGATCATCCTTCCTGCTGGGAACGCACCTGAGCGGGATGGGGGTGGGTGTGCATTATCCCTTCCCTCGGGCCCGCGCTCTTTGGCCGACACCTACCCACTTTCCAAGCTGGCACTGCTCGCCCCCTGGTGGCAGAATTTGGTATTGGGCGCAGACAAGGCGACACCCTGGGAAGGTAGATTGCTTTCAGCACGTGCTGGGAGTTGCTTCAAGTTTTCCTTTGGAGCTCAGAGGCTGGGACTTGGCAGAGAGGAGGCGTCTGTAAGGTTTCCCTGAGAAAAGGAGACACCTTTCCTGGTGGTATTTGGGGTGGCAGGGAGGTGGGGAGGCGTCGGGGCAGGAGAGTGGCAGGCAGGTAAGATCAGGGGCTGAGTCAGGGGCTGCGTCTCACAGGCCCCCAGTAGCCAGCGTGGGGGGGCTGTTGATTAAGGGGAAACTTGTGGACAAGGTTCTAGAGGGATCCTGTTCAATGGCGTGGGGCACCAGGCAACGGCTGGGATTGCAATCAGGCGCTTTATTCGCCATCCTCTCTCCCTCTCTCTCTCCACCCAAGCTGCGAAAGCTGCAGGAATGTTCCTGTTCCGATCCCAGAGGAGCCACTGAGCATGGGAAGATACAGCACCCACCACATGGGCGACCCTTCAGCTGTGGGGGGCTCCTGAGCCACTCCAGGGGCACCCAGCTACCTCTTTCAGGCTGCAGAGCCCCGAAGCTTCTGGAGCCCAGAGAGGTGGCTCTAAATGATGGTGGGGTGTGTGTGTGTCCTTACTCCAAAGCTTGGACCCGTTCCTGGCAGAAATAAATACCCCGACACCTTCCTGCTCGACTACGGCACCCTGCACCCAGGCAGGCTTCCTGTGCCCCCCGCTCCACCTCTGTTGGGAAGGCTCTGGGGTCCAGGGCAGGACCAGGGCTGAGGCTTAAGGTCCAAGGCCAACTGTCACCCAGGCCAGAGCAAATCTCTCTTTGAGCCTCCGTATCTGTGATGTGTGGATAGTGATGATGGCCTCCCTGCCCAGCCACACTCCTCCTACCAAAGGTCCCACACAGCAGGTCCAGGTGTGCTGTCCATCACCCCCACGTCCTCCTGGTGGCCCCTCTCCCCAGCTGCCTCTCCTCCTGGATGGAGGATTGAGAGCCACCCTCTTCCCCTTCTTCCAGTCCCCCAGTAGGTCCAACTTTGAAACTTTGTGCCCACCTTAGTCCATACTTCCAGGTGGGGCAGTGTGGGACGAGGTGGGGGCAGGACGTGTGTGTGAAGCTGTGGTTCCCCAGAGCAGCCTGACTCAGCCCAGAGCAGACCCCACCCCAACCTCACTCAGGGCACCCACAGCTGCTGGCCATCAGCCATGCCTCGTGCCAGGCACTAAGGGGGCCAGAGATGGCCCAGGTAATTCTGTCCCCTGCTGTCAGGGGAGGACAGTGGCACCCAGGTGTTGGAGAGCCATCCTGGAGGCTCCCTTCCTGGGGGAGGTGTGGCTTTGGTGGAGGAACAGGACACCTGTGCCAGGTGGACACTGGCAGGATGCCCAGACAGGAGCCACATGGCTCTGCCGGAGAGCAGGCTGGGGACAGCGCGAGCCGAGGGAGGGTGTCCAGGGAAGGAGGGGAGGCTGGGAGGCACCTGGTGCTACGTGCAGGGCCCTTGCCCTCTGAGACAGAAGATTAGGGAAGGAGGGCTGGCTGGGTTCCCAGGTGCCTTCCTGTGGGACCTGCAAATGTCCCTAAGTGGTTTATTAGCTGGAGCAGACACATCCGGCTCCTGCAGCAGAGGAAATGCTCAAGTGACCGTGGGGCAATCAGGCTGGGAGGGGCAGTAGGGAAGGGGACCATCTCCTCTCCGTGGCCTCTCCAGGACAGTTATGAGCCCTGACCTTGGGGCTGGGTGACCCTGGACAGGTCACTTTCCTGGGATGGGCCTCAGTTTCCCCTTAGGTGAAAAGCCAAGGTTGAGCGGCCTGACCTGGAGGGCCTCGTAGCCAATAGACCTTTCCCCACGCCCTGTGTGGGCCCAGCCCTGCAGGAAGCAGATGGCATGTGTCCCAAAGGGCAATTGAGAACATTTGCAAAGGTGTGGGCAGCCTTAGGGGGAGCAGCAGAGGGGTGATCCAGCCTGCCACCCATGGAGTCACATGCACTCTGGAACTGAAGGGTCATGGGAGGAAGGGAGTGGCGTTTCCAGAGCCAGCAAACAGTAGCCACGGGCTGGAGTCCACTGGGCAGGAGCAGAGGCTATAGGTAGAAGGACAAGGCCACTGGAGGAAACTGGGTAGTAAGTGCCCGGCACTGTCCTGCCTTAGCCAGAAACAAGGTGGCAGGGATGCAGGGGTGTGGTCAGACTCCTGTGCACAGAGCAGTATAGAGAGGGGCAAGAGCGGATTTAGAGGGCATGGGACACCTGGGTGACTCTCCTGTGGAACAGAGTCTTCCCACCTTCCCATCTGCAGCCTAGACACAGGGACAGAAAGATGGCCACGAGGCTCTGCTCCAGTCAGAGGGCTGCTGAGGCTGGGTGGGGCATACAGGGGGGACTCTGCAGGGACTGACCCTTGAGTTCTAGAGTCAGGGGTCTTGGCCAGCTGGAGAAGCGGTGGCCCATGATGACCCTTTACCCCTTCCTGGGAACCAGCCCACAGGCCTCAGGAGTGGGAGGTGGGGTCTGAGTCCACCCTGCTCCTTGTCCTGTCTAGAGTGACTGTCCCCGGATGGGTGCTTGTGCTCCCTCCACCCCGCCCACCCTGTCCCTGGTGTCCGCCCATGTCGTAGGCCTGCATCTGGTCCATGGGAGGTGTGGGTCTCCTCCATCAGCCCCCGTCCTTGCCACTCACGCCTATGCTGCTTCAGCCTCTCCCGTGGGTGCTAATGATCCCCGTCTGTCCTCTTATCTGTCTCATATGTCCTTGGTGCCCTGGCCACCCTGGACAGCCCAGAGGCCCCTCATGCTAACATGCCACTCCATACCCAGCCTGGAGCTGCCCAGCCTTGTGCCTCCCTCCTGGTTCTCCAGGCTTCAGGCTGGATGCTGGCAGACCCAGGTCACCTGTGTCCCTGACCCCACGCTCTGCTTCCTACCCTAGACAGAGCCTGTGTACAAGCCTTAAGCCACCTGCTCAGGACATGCCCGCTGCTGAGCCCAGAGGCGGCCTGGGTGGAGAGCAGGCTCAGCGTGCGTGGGATATGGGGGTTCTCCAGCCTGAGGGGAGATGCTGGCCGCAGATGCTGGTTTCTCTGGGCTCTTCTGGGGCTTGGGAGTCGAGGGAGGGGTCTGAGTCTCAGTGCCCGGTCCTACCAACCCACTGGCCATCCTCCCCATGCAGCCTCAGGTCCAGAGCCAGGTCCTAGGGGGCCATGGGGGAATGAACGCCCCAAGAGGGTGATGTCCGGCCCCAGCCTTGGCGTCCAGCCTCACCCACCTGGGCTTCAGCCTCTTTGCCCCAGGAAGGGGTGGATGAGATGAGCAGGACTCTCTGTCTGCCTCTGGCCCTCAGGCCACTGGGTCCCTCCCTACTCACTCATGCCCACTGACAGCAGACGGTCACTAACCCTGTTGGGCACTGGGCCACGTGTTCCCAGCCCTCAAGGCCATCCCCCACCCTCCTCGGTGGCAGCTGGTCATGCTCAGAGATACCACAGGACCCTGCTGGCTGGTTCATGCCACCTGAGACTGCCAGGAAGAGGGGCACTAGTCCTGCCTGGAGCAACAGAGGTGTCCAGGCACAGCTGGGAGGCACCAAGCCTGGGGACCCTGCAGGGCACCTCCTCAGGTCATCAGGGGCCCATGGACACCAGCTCCCACCTACTGACCACACAGTGCAGCTCTACGGGCCTTCTCAGCCCTCCAACTCACAGGGGGACCCACTTGGGAGCACAGGCTTGGGGACAATGATTTTGAGTGGTGAAGTGACATCCTATGAACCAGGTGTCTCCTGACATCATCCTGGTAAATGGACAACTGGGAAGCGCAAGGACCTCGCCTCTCTTCCTGCCTCCTTCTGTCCCTGTTTTCCCATCTTGGTGTGTGGGGTTGTGTGTCCCCTGGGGTTATGTTTCTCGCTGTCCCTTGTCCCTATTTTTTTTTTTTTTTTGCACTGGGCATTGACCCAGGTGCTCTCCCGCTGAGCTCCACCCCCAGCCCTCTTATTTTGAGGCAAGGTCTTGCTAAGTTGCCAGGTTGGCCTCCAACTTGTCATCCCCCTGCCTCAACCTCTGCAGTAGCTGGGATTGCAGGGGTGTGCCACCACGCCCAGCTTCTTGTCCCTCTTTTTAAGCCTGACCAGCCTCGGAAACACACCTTTTGCTTCCAGAAGGGGAGCTGCCTGGGCCGTCCAGGCGTGGGCCTGACCATTTCCCAGCATACGCAAGCTCCAGGCAGATGTCGGCTTTCCCTGCCCCAGGGAAGGGAAAAGCAGGGGAGAGGAGCAAAACACAGTAGAGACAACAGGGACAGAACAGGTGTCAGGGACAGAAACGTTACAATCCATTGCCCCAAACCAGCTGGTACAGAAGTAAAGAGAGGGTCACCCCGGACCCCCTTCCCTGCTGGCCCTGCTTCTAGGAGGTCTGCATGCCCACCCCCAGACTCCCTGCTCTCCCAGTAGGGGAGCCAGGTGCAGCTCGACCCCCTGCCCCACCACAGACACTTGCACCTCCTATTTGGCCTGGGAGGTGGCCCACAGAGGGGTCTGGTGGTCCAGACAGGGTTGTGTGGCCTGGGAGGAGCCAGCTGTCCAGGTGTCTGGGGGCAGGGTACTTTCTGGTCCGGCGCCACCACAGTAATCTTGAATGGGACTGTTCCCACCTTGGGGCACAAGGATGCACGGGGTGCACGTGTGTGTGGGTGTGCGGGGGTGCACGTGTGTGTGGGTGTGCGTGCGCGCACATGCGTGAGCACCAGAGATCGAACCCAGGGGCACTTGACCACTGAGCCACATCCCCAGCACTATTTTATGTTATATTTAGAGACAGGGTCTCACTCAGTGGCTTAGTGCCTCAATTTTGCTGAGGCTGGCTTTGACCTCTTGATCCTCCTGCCTCAGCCTCCCCAGCTGCTGGGATTACAGGTGTAATCTGTGCTCCAGGCAGGGCTGTATTTTCAAACTGGGGTCTCCCAGGAGCCCAGCCACCCTGCTGTGGGACCCCTGCTCTGGGAGGAGAGCCCAGGCCTCGGGTGTGAGCCTTTATTCAGGAGCGAGTATCTGAGCCTGCTGGAGACAGGGTGCATGGAACCAAGGTGGCCGGGGCCAGCCAAGGGAAGTCCCAGGGTCAGGACTGGATTCTGAGGGTCGTGGGAGCCCTTGAGGGATTTTTTAGCAGGACATAGGAGCCCACGAGAGGGTGGAGGTGACCGGGAGGGGCAGGGCCCTTCACGGGAGGCAGGGATGTCGGGCTGTCTCACTCCGACTGTGCGGGGACTCCCCGGGGACCGGACTGGTGGAAAGCCCCCTCCTAGGACAATTTCCTGCCTGGCCTCTGGTCCCCAGATCTCTGACCCCAGCAGTCCTGGGTAGTCTCCAATCCCACCTCCAGCTTCCTCCATGGGAGGATGAGGCTGGGCATTTCCATTCTCTTTCTGGAAGGTTCAGAAGGTTAATGAGGGCAAAGCACGGAACTCCACTCAGGGGATCAACTTCTGGGAAGAGAGCAACCTGCATCTGGGCTGAGGGCCAAAGGCAGAGTGGGGACCGCACCTCTGGTCATGGCCTAACCACCGACTTGGCCCCTCTGACCAGCCGCCGGCGAGTTTCTGTGAATGTCAGGGACACAGAATGGAGGCTTCTCTGCTTCCACGGTGCAGAAGACCCTCCTCTTCCCATGGTGG